TAAAAGCCTAAAGAACCCCTTTTCATTCTGATATCTTGAAGAGAGAGGTCAAGGGACCCCTGTAAAAATAGCCATGCCAGTATTTCCCTGGCCAAAATTACCTAGCCTAATTATAGAGAGTTATTTACCCCCTTCCCAGATCCTGCTTCATGCCGGTGCAGTGTTTCTGGGCAATGCTTATGTGTGTGTGATGCAGACTCACGCCATAGCCACGTTGCTGCCATCTATGATGATGTGTCTGAGATCCTGACGTCCAGGCTCATTTGGCAGCTTCAGTGTGTAGGGAGTCCTCAGTGACTGATGGAAACGTGCCAGTCCCGTCACCGGGGGTGCCGGGGGGTCATTTGAAGGGGGAGTCCTGGCTCCAACCCCATGAAAGCCCATGTGGCTGATGGTCTGATAAGGAGAGGCCGAGGGCCGAATGATGGGCTGAGCTGACTGAGGAGGAAAATACACAAATGACTTTTAAAATAACAGAAAGACGAGGATGTGATTCATGACGTTAATCATGACAACACTCACACAAGTCTGGGCAATGAGTGGGCACGTTTCAAATCTCCTTCCCAGCTCTGTTATGAAAAGAATTGTGAGGGGAAGACTGAAAGAAATGGCATCAATCCTTTTGATATCATAAAGTTTACACAGTTGAACAATTACATTTTTTGTACTCTATGTGTATGTATAGTTTAAGTAGCAAGGTTGGTCTAACAAATTCAAAACATATGCAACAAAACAAAAATCTGTATTTATGACGAGTCAGAAGAACTTTTCACCCGGTTTGGGTAATATGGGTAAAGTTAACACCCACAGACTACAGTAGACAATGTATTTGATAGAGTTACTAAGCCGCCACCTGGTAATGTCAAAATAAACACCAACAGGGTGATGAAGACCCCATAGTGGAGGCCTTGTTGGATACAAAGGAGGTGATATACAGGATGGCAAACTTACAGGTCAAAGGTATTTATAAACTGGAAATACTGATTCAAAATGATGAAATCTATTCATAAATACTGGCATGTTTGTGCCATCTACTACAGGGTATATGCAGGAATCCTGAGGATAATTTCAATACCTTTTTAAGACTTTTTTAAGACCTTCCAAAAAAACCTTTAGACCTCATCGCCACTTNAAGGCAGAACCGGACAGTAGCCTGAAAGGTTCATTCATTTATTTTATGAAAGATTTATAGAATAATGGCTGACTTTTTGCCAGACTTTGACTTTGTGGAGGAGGAATTTGATTTTGCAGAGTTTGATCGCCGCCCTTATTTATTTGAGCCAGAATACACTGATGAAGAGCTTTGTGAAATTGAAGAATGGAGGAGGAGGAGAGAGAGGCATAACAGGTAGAGGACGACAGATGAGGAATGGCTGCTGGAAGGCTTTAGCTCTGGAGATTGGTGGTGTAACGTTACATGTGAATGCTGTACCCCAATGCCCACAGAAGAGGAATACCTCTGTTGCAAGGAATGGGACCGGTTGCAGCCTTAGCCAAATGGTAAACAACAAACATGGCACCACACCGGTAAGCTAAGACAACACGTTTACATGTCGTTTTCATGCTCTCTGACATTTATCCTAACGATATGAGGCGGTCTTTGTGGAGAAAAAGCTTGTTTAGTGGACTAACTCTGCACTTGAAAGGATGCCCGTTCAATTACGTTTTAACAGGTCTGACGCTACGGCTGTATCTAGGCTAACGGCTAACATGCTAACTATTATTTCTATGTCACTAGTGACTTGAAACAAATTTAGGACGATAGGAGACGGGTTGAAATAAACCGAAATTTCCCTTTAAGACTGAATGGCCAACTACATGCACCTGCTGGTTAGTAGGGTGAATCCAAAAAGTCAGACTAGTGCTTGAGAAGCTTTTTGCAAACTCATGTTCTCAGATAAATATTTAAAAAAATGTTCTAAATGGTCAAATTGTTGCCTTATAAATGGAGCTTCTGTTCAGTGTTCTTTCCTTTTTCTCATTTGAACTTCTGTCAGTTATATCTCAACTGGCAACTTCTGTGTGCACTGAGTTACTATCTTGATCAGCAATCTGGCCTCACATGAGCTGTGGTGAAACACAGCAAACAGCCTGTGGAGCTGCTTGTTACACACAGTGGTGTGACCCAAAATATTTCGCAGGTCTCCAGCAAAGTGACGTAGGTCCAGACGGAAAAAAAAGGCACCCCTGGCACAAATAGCTGGTGATGGGGACAGTACTGAAGGGTTTACACCGCGGAAAGAACACTGATCTATGTATTCCCCTAGTCACTGTCCAAGCACTTGCACAGCTCATGTAAATGATAACAAATTTGTTTTCTGTGACACAGCACTACAAGCACAGACATATAAACACAAGGTAGATAACACACAAAGACCAACAGTCGTAAACACACACACGCATGCACTAGAGAACAAGATCATTTCAGCTTGTGGTCAGAGCAGCAATGCAACATCGAGGGAAGTTCCGCCTGTTGAAAAGAGAAAGTGATGAAGGACACCACAGCAGGAAGAGATTACAGTGAAATCACCATGGAAACACGGACGTAATCTGATGAGGAAAAACATCTCCGAGCTCATTAAGATAAGTTTACATGGCCAAATACCCTCTTTCAGGATCAGGACATACCCTCACCCTCAAACCCTAGGGACATCATCATCAATTTGAAGCAATTGTGGAGTTTTGTTTTCAATAAAACTAACACTACAAATAAAATAATTTAAAGATCCATATCTATCAGCATATTTTGTTGTCTTGAGTACTGTGGTTTTAACAGGCTATTGAATTATAACTGTGTGTCCCACTTGGCATAATGTAATAGAAACAATAATGATGAAAATTTTTTGTTCATCCTGTAGGACAGATTTTGAGTCAAAGGTGACCTCTGCTTTTCTGTTTAGGAATAATTCTACAAAGGAGGGAGGAAGGATAAAATGGAAGAGGGAGGGAGAGTGGGCGTGACAGAATGTGGAAGGAAGTGGTTGCAAAAGTGAAAAGTCAAGACAAGGTCATCCGGGATGAAGATTGTGATGACACATCAGCAGAGAGTGAGGAGAAGAACAACAGGCTGTGCTCTATCCGTCCTTTGTTGCACAATTTTTGCATAAAACAGAAACTACAAAGTCAGATTTTTTTTTACTAGACGAGGCCTTTCTTCCCAAAAACACCCCCATAATACTCCCCCACTCATTAAATCATGTTGTTATAACTGCTTTCGCTTTGTCAGGCTCACACACACTCATACACACAAAGGTGATGAGTAACAACATTTTGCGAGTGTGTGGGCTAAGTTTTGGTGCACCTACAGGGTTGTAGCTGCAGCCCACGCACAGTAACAGGTGGCCCATTTAGATTGAGAATATGATTGAGAGTGTTTGTGATCTTCACTGATGATAATGGGAAGGGTGATGGTTTCATGTGTAAAAGGAAAAACGCGGTACATTTACAGCGGGTGTGTTATTGTCATCACAGGAGCTATAACTCTTTACACCTATACCAGGAAGATAATGCTCCATCACAGTCAGTGTGTGTAATGTTCGGTTATTTTCACTCATGTACTTTTAGCACCTTTTTACCAAGTATTCTGTCTTTAACAGTTTCAGAGAAACTGATGGGTGATTCATGTAAAAAAAAAAAAAAAAAAGAAAAAAGAAAATCATCTTAAAAAGTTGAATCCTCCTTCTCATGACTAGGCCACTGGTAATGGTTACAGCCCTGTGATAAAGTTCTGGTAAACCCCAGTCTACATCTGTCTCTTGGCTTGTCACTGCAAAACTTCCATTTAAACTGCTATGGTTACAGGTCTTACTACAGGGGTCATCTTGCTTTTGTGTTTCTTGTTGCAGATTGTCACAGTTATTAATAGATACAATAGACCAATGTTTGTCCTTTTTAAGGGAACAGGGAATTTTTTGGGGGAGTTTTTCCTTATCCGCTGCGAGGGTCAGAGGGATGTTGTATGCTGTAAAGCCCTCTGAGACAAATTGTGATTTTATTTTATTTTATTTTATTTTATTTATAAAGCCCAATATATTTGTGATATTGGGCTTTATAAATAAAATTGATTGATTGAATTGATTGATAGCAGATCAACAGTATATAAACACAGTGTTTTTGTTAGGTGCCTATTCAAACTTTAAAAAATTTACAGTGTATAAGGGCTTACAACATTATGATGTTGTAAGTATGTGATGGCCATTCCCATGCTCAATTATGTCTCATAAATTGTTAATATTAAGGGCTACATTTCAGCATTTTTGACCACTAGAGAATGGATAAAAATGGACAAAACCCCTCCAAAATACCAGATTAAGACACCAAGACCTTGAACAACACCACAGAAAAATCCATGCTGTTTTTTGGCATCCAAAACTTCTGACATTTGGATATTTCTCTAAGAACTGCGTTTTTTTTAGCTATTGGATAGCGAGCACTTCTGTTCTGGGAAACTGCTGAGAAACTCCCTTATTGTTAATACATCCATGAAAGCCAAACATCCTCTGAATGCGCGAGGTCTCTTCTTTGTGGTTGTAAAGTTTCATGAGACCATGATTATCCTAGAGGTCACAATGGGTTATTTTACACAGTGAGGTCAAGTTAAAAATGGTCTCACTACAATGAAATGGCTACTATGTGGGCTAACATCATCACACAGAAATAAAATTGGGCTCACTGAATCTACAAGACTCTCAGTTTTCCAGTCATACTCATTTTATACAAGTCCAAGACTGTGAAGAGATGCAACCTTACAGAAATATTCCAATACAACAGGGGGAAATATCACATTTATAAATTATAATAAAAGCCTAAAGAACCCCTTTTCATTCTGATATCTTGAAGAGAGAGGTCAAGGGACCCCTGTAAAAATAGCCATGCCAGTATTTCCCTGGCCAAAATTACCTAGCCTAATTATAGAGAGTTATTTACCCCCTTCCCAGATCCTGCTTCATGCCGGTGCAGTGTTTCTGGGCAATGCTTATGTGTGTGTGATGCAGACTCACGCCATAGCCACGTTGCTGCCATCTATGATGATGTGTCTGAGATCCTGACGTCCAGGCTCATTTGGCAGCTTCAGTGTGTAGGGAGTCCTCAGTGACTGATGGAAACGTGCCAGTCCCGTCACCGGGGGTGCCGGGGGGTCATTTGAAGGGGGAGTCCTGGCTCCAACCCCATGAAAGCCCATGTGGCTGATGGTCTGATAAGGAGAGGCCGAGGGCCGAATGATGGGCTGAGCTGACTGAGGAGGAAAATACACAAATGACTTTTAAAATAACAGAAAGACGAGGATGTGATTCATGACGTTAATCATGACAACACTCACACAAGTCTGGGCAATGAGTGGGCACGTTTCAAATCTCCTTCCCAGCTCTGTTATGAAAAGAATTGTGAGGGGAAGACTGAAAGAAATGGCATCAATCCTTTTGATATCATAAAGTTTACACAGTTGAACAATTACATTTTTTGTACTCTATGTGTATGTATAGTTTAAGTAGCAAGGTTGGTCTAACAAATTCAAAACATATGCAACAAAACAAAAATCTGTATTTATGACGAGTCAGAAGAACTTTTCACCCGGTTTGGGTAATATGGGTAAAGTTAACACCCACAGACTACAGTAGACAATGTATTTGATAGAGTTACTAAGCCGCCACCTGGTAATGTCAAAATAAACACCAACAGGGTGATGAAGACCCCATAGTGGAGGCCTTGTTGGATACAAAGGAGGTGATATACAGGATGGCAAACTTACAGGTCAAAGGTATTTATAAACTGGAAATACTGATTCAAAATGATGAAATCTATTCATAAATACTGGCATGTTTGTGCCATCTACTACAGGGTATATGCAGGAATCCTGAGGATAATTTCAATACCTTTTTAAGACTTTTTTAAGACCTTCCAAAAAAACCTTTAGACCTCATCGCCACTTCAAGCTGTCGTTAGCAGCAACACATTTTTAACTTACTAAACAGTTGTAGTTTGCAATTAAATCTATGGAGCACAAACATACAACAGAACTCAGATAAGATGAGAAGGAATAAAGTTTGAAAGAAAAAATTAAACCAAAGCAAGTAACACAGCTCTACAGCTCAACGTCAGCTATTCGAGGCCAGCTTGCTGAAAACAACAGCCTTATGGCTAGCCCCCTGCATGTGGGATTTAGGGCTGACCCAAAAACTTTGAAGCTTCGAAGCTTTGTTCGATGGCACGGGATTTGATTGTGAAAAACAAAATTCAAATATTCGGCCTTTTTTTTCTCCCGTTTTTTTGGGGGGACCTTGAACGCAACACTAATCATGCTGTCCGTTTACAGTTGTTTTTTCCCCCCTTTAGCCATCTGTAAACTCAAAGAACGAGAACTATTTATTTTATTTTTTTTTAATCTTAATTCTAGGGTTGCAAGAAACTACCTTTTCGCCTAATATGTAAGTTATTAACTTTTTTGGGATTTTTTTTTTTTTCCGCTCAGCACACTAGTCGACAACCAGAAATGATTCATCAGTAGGAATGTAAGCCAAAACTGACTAATTGTGATGTAATTCTCTGACTATTGCTGTGTCAAATTCCCTGACATTCCCAGTGTCCGGTCCAGCAGGAGCCTTGGAAGTTAACCCCCTTAACACTGCGCAGTATGCTAAAAGCAAACCAATATACTGTAGATCTCCTCCAGACATATTTTAAGATACATAAAAATACTCTTATACTTGGAATGATATTGTGTACTTGATGTTCACAAATGTTAACTGCCTAACACAATTATGTCTCCTGCTTCACTGAAAAGCCAATTCTCCATGTATATGCACTGGAGTTTTTATGCAAAACTTGTATACGTTTCATATTGGACAATGATTAGCTTCCAAACAAGTTGTGATATCACAAATGACCTTATCTATAAATGTCTTAAACTGAGATTTAAAGCCCCAATCCAGTGTATTTTGGCATTTTCATTAAGGCTGTCAAAATAATGCGTTCATTTTGATTAAATACTCACACAAAAAGTAATGTGTTAAAAACAGAACGCTGATTAATTGCGTACCATGATGCCCTTTGACCTGGTGTGTCATTGAAGGCCACAGTGGCTTTGTTACATGATGGAGGCAGACAAGATAATGCTGCTTGGCTCCGTTAATGGAACATTTACATTTATTAAACACTCAATGGAACTGTTCATATGTGCACCGTACTGTAGGAATTTTTACGTACCATCACACTTCAAGCCTGAAATATCACCTCAATGCAAAGCATTTAGCAGTGAACCTGTAGGTCCGAGCTAGCACTGCCTCTGTTGTGATCGCCAACAGCCAGCCACGTCAAGTCACACAGGCATTCAGACACAAACTGAGAAAGTCCACCTGTGACCGAGTAGCTAAAACCCTTGCAAAATGGACTTCTGGTGGTAGAAGACAGGGGGACAATTGTGTCCAAAATCCAGCAGCTTCATGATGACACATCTGCCAATGTTCATTTGAATTCAATTCTTTTAAATACATTCACTGCAAAAGGTGATATGTGCGATTAATTTATATTAATTAATCACAGAGCATGTAATTAATTAGATCAATATTTTCTTAATTGCTTCACAGCCCTAATTTTTATATTTCACATTTTCCTGACACTGTTGATTAGCCACCCTGCCAAATATTTTTGACAAATAACTTAATGTTTGTGTTTAAAGTCTTAAAAAGAAGTTTGCTGTTAAAATGGGAAGATGATGTATGATGGCAGTAGAAGCTGCGGGTCAGATGTCATCCTCCAAGCTGGCACAGGTGCACTGTCATGCCTCTTTGCATCTGAGCCCCAAACCAATAAACAGTGAGCTGGGAGTTCAACTTATATTTTGACTACACTGAAGATGTAACGAATGCCGACTGCTGGCGGGGCAAATGTGCTGCAAAATGCATCCTTTCCTGGCTATGCCTTCTGACACATACAGCGCTGGGTTGTGAGTCACAAGAAAAAGAAGACGGTGAGTTTTTCTGTTTTGGGATTGTGTGGGATTTGTTTTTTCAGTTTCTGAACCCAGCACAGCACTGTGAAACTTCAGCTTTTCACCCAGTTTGTGTAATATGGGCACTAAGCAATGTCAAAATAAATGCCAACAGTGTGATGAAGACCCCATAGTGGAGGCCTTGTTGGATACAAAAGAGGTGATATACAGGATGGCAAACTTAATATCAAAGGTATTTATAAATGGACTGGAAATACTGTTTCAAATATGGGGGATTTCACCGTTAGAGTGACCGGTATCGCTATCCATGCAAATATCCAATTTTATCACTATGATATGTATGCTAGAACGGCAATATCATTGCCAGGGTAATGGATCATGTCTGACTATTAACCTCACTCGCATTCTCTATTTGAGAAAGAAGGTTTATCAACAAACAGGAAGTAACACTGGCTTGAGTGCAGCTTTAAGTTAAGCACAGACAAACTTTCGTTATTCAGCATATCAGCATGAAAATAGTCTTCTAATTTAACTCTGCCCATACGGGGGTCAGTGATCAAAGACGTAGTAAAAACAAGGAAAACTCCTAAATGAGTGGATGAGGACTTTAAGGTGATACCTACACTGGGGGTTGAAGCTAAGGAGGTGGTGGTGGCAGTCAGCCACTGAGGCGTGCTACGCAGCGCTGTCACGGTTTCAACTTTCACTGATCCTCCCAAAGTCTGTGTCCCGCCCCTTGACAGGTAATCCCTCTGTGAGGCGCCGCCACCTCCCCGCGCCAAGTAGTCTGTTCGGGATCCTGACTGGGTGTCCAGGTGTGGCACTGTCATCATCCGGGATGTTCTACTATCCGCTGTTTTGGTATTCGTGGGTATGACGTCCTCGTCATCGTCAATGGTAATAACCTCATAGTTTCCTGCTCCTCCTTGAGCACTAGAGCTCCTCTTGATCGTGATGGCCTGAAATGAGATTTGGTATTTGCCATTTCAAAATCTCTTATTCAGAAACAAATGAGACAACAATTTTTGAAAATTTAATTCTAAGCATCTTTATGACTTACACATTTGTACGCAGTCATCATCATCAATGAAAACTTTCTTTATCACAGTGTTAAATGTATCCATATTGTCAAGCCATAAGTGTGATTCTTGATGAGCCGCAATAGGCATGATATGGGGTGAGAGTGTGTGATGTGATGATGAAGATCCAGTAAGATGACTCATACGATATGAGGCAATTTATTGGAAATGATTTGAGATGAAGAGATAAAGAGATCAGAGTACATGGTAGAAGGTAAAACGGGGAGAATGCAGCTTTATAGAAAACATTGATATGTGTCATGGGAGTTAAGATATGAGAGATGTAAATGTGATGTGGGGCGTTAGATTAAATGTGGATATCACAGGTGAGATGATTTGCTCTGTGATTTCAAACATAGCCAGGAACTTAAAATGGAGATTTGATCTTTGATTAAATTTGGGTGTTTTATCCAAGGAAAAGAAGAAAAAGTAATGCTGAACTGAAAACCAACAATCCTTTTGTGAAGGGGATGTACCTGCTGAGTGCTGGTCTCACTGCCGCTGCACTGCCTCCGATGGCCCAGACCGTTGCTACTTCCTCCATGCTGGTTGGGCTTAATGTTCTCTTTAGACCTGCCCGGGTCCACCAATGCTCTGCTCAGCTCGCGCTCCTTCTCTCTGAATCGAGAGACTGTGGACGAGGATGATGATGAGGAGGGAATGTCTTGGGAGCGCACAGAGTTCAATCGTCTTTCTTTTTCCCCTCCTTTTGAACCGTCTTCACAGCGCTTGGTTTCCTCAACAATTTTTTCCAGAATGAGGAAGGTATCCTCTGTCTGTCCCGTCTCCTTGACAACACGCTCCACCACTTCCTGCTGGTAGCCCATGGTTCTGAAGAAGATGAGTTTTAACAAGGTTTCATTTGGCACTCAAGAGAAGTGATGCAGAGTTGAAGGATAGGGTTACATTTTTGAATGCTGTCTGAAAACAATACTCACATGTCCAGTTGCCCACACACTGTACACTGAGAGAGTTATTGGTGGCTGTTATCCTTCAGGTCTCATTTTGTGCAACACTGTGCTTTAAACTTTAACCAAAGCTAATGTAAGTCTGAGTTAGACAAGAAAAATAGTGTTTTCCAAAATGATGGTCTTTTTAGTGTAATATTCCCTTGTTTTTGTCACTATCCCACCACTACCGCTAAGCAAGGAAAAACATTTACATCTTTAACACCTGAATTTAGGGTAATTTTGTCCGGACCAGCAGGAAAAAATTATATATTGTCTAATTTTAGTTCTGACTCATTTTAAACAAATCTAGAAGAGTAAACGCAAAGCAATTTTGACTGACAGGCAACTTGTTGATTGTACAGTTTTGGAGAGTGTCATCCTGCATCTTCAGGACCCCTGTGTGCGGTGACTGACAGGAGTTTAGTAGCACTTTAACGCTTCTGATGTGTATATTTCTGGTCTTTTGTGTCACAAAGAGCTCACTGAGAAGTAACTGACTGTGAGCATTTTTAGTAAGCTATCACGACTTGAAAATGAAAATTGATCTCACGTAATGAAAAATGACTAACACAGAAACAGGACGAAAAGGAGGCGTCTTGTTCAGAAATGATTCAGGGCTTATTACTGTGGGAACACTGTCACACACTTAAACCCCATTTATACTCCCTTTACACAGAAAAACAGATGTGTTTGTTTCAAATGTTGTAAACATCCCTGCCCTCATACATCCATGTATCTTTTATGATGGCCTAGATTCAGCTAATAGATGGCACTAGAGGGAGGAGTTAAAAGTTTCAGACATCAACAAATGGCCGATGGTGGAGGAGGTCGTCATAAATACCTTTAAGGGAGGTAGTATTGTAGATGGCGGTGTCTGTGAGGCCATTAAATATGTCCCGACATGTGGAAGGAGAATTCTTTTCAATGTATTACCACTTTATTTGGTTTTGCCATTATTTAAATGTTTTTATCGTCTCCTACGTTCATATCTACACTGCCTCCACGATATCAAGTGGTACTGCATTTTGTCTATATCAGTTAAGCTTTCAAAAAATGTGTGCAAATAAGGACGACATGAACGCAGGGTACAGCCTGAAGGCTCCGTCCATCTCTGACTCTATCTTATGTTGAGCATAAATGAGCCCTTAGACCTAATGAACTGGCAACGTACACAAATACTGAATATAATCATGGCAGTTTTTACGGCTTCCAATCAGGGAAAATACCATAGCTGGCGTGCATACATTTGACCATGGTTACATATATGCATTAGCATAAGAGCTTACAGGCTTTTTTATATGGATCAATTATAAGATTGCTAAAGTAGTTTAGCTTTCAAATCATGCTATAATCTCATATCTGTCATCATCCTGTGGTTGCTTCTATTGCTTTCACATCACAACCAAACTGCACCAGAATCAGCTTGAAAGCAGACAGAGACTTGCATTCTCCAACCGGTCTTGTGACTCTTGTCTTGGTTGTTTGGTGCACACCAGGGTTTGATTGACAGCAAACCGTATTAACCCGGGAAACAGACTTGAGTTTGTCTTAATCATAGGTTTGAAGGCATCCTGACTTAGTCTGCTGAAGCCTCATATTAGCTTTAGCCGGACATTAATTAGAGTGTATTTTGCATGGAAAAGGGCTGTGGATTTTAAACCCCATCTTTACATTGAAATCTCATAGCTTCACGACCAGTATGGAGAGGAGGGACAATTACAGCAACTGTTCAGTCTTTCTATGCACATATGGGTAACTATCTATAACCCTGTATAGCCTGATACAAGACATGAATAGAAAAGTTAATCACAAATTCAAACGGCCAATGATCTACTTGGCCAATGATTATGTATTTGGTTAATAAATAATTCCCTAAGCAGCCCTAATGTAACAAAGATTAGTTCCTTTGCAAACATTTCAAACTATTATGAGCTTTACCTGAAAAAATTGACCAAGCAGCGGAGGTTGGTTTCTGGGCTTACAGCCTCTCCGTCATCGGAGACTTCACTGGAGTCCAACATGATCACACCGGCTACTGTGTTTGCTTTTCCTGAGGAGGAGAGGGATGACGAGGCAGAGGGGGTTTTGGATCTACAGCTGCTACTGCTCCCCCGGCCTTCTCTGTCCCTCTGTCGCTCCCTCTCTCTCGCTCTCTCCGGCGACTCGTCCCTCCGCTCCAGAGAGTACTGTCTCTTTGTGTCGCGAGTCTCGCTCTCAGATGAGCGCCGCTTGTGCGAGGGCCGAGTGCCGTTGAGCAGGACGGCCTCAGGACCTAAGCCTATCGCTCCTCCTGTTTTAATTCCTCCGCTGACAGTTGCTGCTCCGCTCCCTTTCTCCTCAAAGCTGGTGCCCAGGATACGGTTGGAGAGTTCTGTCACAGGGGTGCTGCTCTGTGAGCGGTCCTGGTCGACCTCTGCCATGCTGGGATGCAGCGTCTGGTTGAGCTGAGCCTGGGAGAGGAAACAACATCATATCAGTAAAGAAAGTACAGTAAAAGTTCCTCTCAAACATTTGCTATGGTCATGATTCATATTGTACTTCCCTGCGTGCCCTACATGGTTCTCCTTACCAAAAGTTTGTCACGAATGTTCTTTACTTACTGGACGGCTACCAAAATTATCTGACTTGATCTTAAACTTTCTGCTGTTCATTGCTTGCTCTGAATTAGAACAGCTGCAAACTGCCCAAAAGTAACACTTGGAAAGTAACACATAAAAGGCTTTAATAAACTTCATTCATGTTTTCAAGTTTAATCAATTTATATTGAAAGGTTTGAAGCTTTTAAAATGTACATTAAAAAGTTTCTGTGGTAGGCCTGATTCGTCACTGAAATATGTTTCACCCTATACTCACATTAGTTTTAAGACTAGTAGGAATACTCAACCTTCTCATTGGACTAAAACATAGACAGAATCATTCCAGCTGGAAAAATACACATCTCAAGCTTTGTTTAGTCTCAGAGAGGTTTAGTTCTTTGAGATTAGAGTTTTCTGTAGAATATAAACAAAAACAACCTGCATTATTGTGACTAATACAAAAAGGTATCCTACAGCCAAGGACAAACAGACCTTCACAGCAGTGGCGTGGGTGGAAAAAACATTTGGGCAGGCCTGTAAAAAAAAAAAACTGCACAGGCTTAGGGGTTTTGTTTTTAAAAGTCTACATTTCCCATCATCGTCCTGCTATTCAAAATCTACACAGGCTTGACATAACAGCCTCCAATATGCACCTGCTAGGCATAACTGTGATAAGCCCTTAGAGTAAAAGGGCCCAGGTACTATTCCACAGCTGCTGTAGATCGGTGTTGCTCTTGATGCTTGATGATTTTTCACATTTCACTGGTAACTTATGCTGCTGTGAAGCAGTTAGTTTGTCATGTTTCCTCATGAGCTACTGAGTAAGCTTTGGACTTTGACAATATCACCGATGATATTATCTCTCAACTTCATCCAGTCAGTCTTGGGGATTTCAATCAGACTGATGTGACCCATTTTTTGATAACGTTGAAGACTGTAGTTCAAATGTTGCAAAATTGCTGCTTTTTAAGAGTTCAGAGAAAAAGAAAAACTTGTTTTGGTTTAAATCTGCTGTAGGATCTGCAGTTTTGAGCTTATTAAAATTCAGCACGAGTCTCAAAAATCTGATCCAGCAGCATCAGCTTCTTACTGTCTGATCCAGATTCTAGTTAATCTTTCTAACTCAAGTGTTCTGGTTTCTGCTTGTAGTCTGTCTGCAGTCCACGTAATATCGACCAATCAGGCAGGTAAACAGTACATGCGGAAAGGCTGAAGTGCAGTCTCAGAATCGCCTATCATCTGACAGCAATTGCTTTTTTCGAGCTTTATTTAAGTTAGTGTCTGTTTATAGTGATAGCCAAAATGAGCGGTAAAGAGGAAGTCTTGGCCTGGATATCCAGTTGCTACTCTGGATCTCCCAAAATTAGGGCGGCACGGTATATGTGGTAGACGGTAGAAATGATATAAATTTGGCCCACGGTAGAGATTTGCGCTCTACCGTCCTATCGTCAATGACGTCATCGCACCTGCCTCAGTGTGAAAATGGCTGCGAGCACAGAGACAGCGGAGCAAGAGGAGCTGGTTCACGTCCGTGATTTAGCATAGCACGTGCAACATGTGTTGCTGGAGAACTTGTGAGTGAGTGAGTTAATGTTTTATGAACAGCCCCGGACTTCTCAGACTCTTTTAGCGACTTACCGCTCAGAGGGAACTCATTCAGTGTCTCCTCTGGCAGCAGCACAGCGTCTCTCCCTCTCCTCTCTCGCCGTGCGCACACGGGAGTTGGTTTTCGGCAAGAGAGTTTGTCATAAACCTTTGGTAATGTAAACCTATGTGACGCTAGGGGCTCCACAAAAAACTCCATACGTGAATGTGTGATAGTTGTGGTATCATAACCTGTCACAGGTTACAGCGTGATGATTAGAGGAGAAATGGCAGAGCATAAAGGTCCAGGTGGAAAAAACACAACTCAGTCATTTAGGATTTTGCTAAAAGAAGGAAATTACCTTTTGATATAGATCCCAGGGGACATTTTGCACCATAAAGTACTGGGTTTTAATTTTGAGTTTTGAGATCTGCATTCTGCACAATAAATGCTCTAAAAAATACATTATATCTTTGCTTTTGTTGTTGTTGTTTTTTTTTTATCAATTTAGCTTTGCTAAGGGACTACAAAACCCATTCAGAAACACTTCTATTATAACTTTTACACTTAAATTTATACCGCGATATATACCATTACCGTGAAGGGATTCGATTTATACCGTGATATAAATTTTAGGTCATACCGCCCAGCCCTACCCAAAATATTGACCAACTTCAAGATTGCAGTGTACATAAAGTGCATATTTAAATACCCAACATTACAGACGCACTGTCAAAGCAGAAGCCCACGCATAGCGCTGGGTCCAAATCCAGTGGCTTAGGCACTTACAGAATCCTCTGTGAAATTCCCTCTGCTGACATGTCAGCTGTTTCCACAAACCCAACAACCCTCTCTTTATCGCTCCATCGTTTATGTAGCAAACACACACAACAGCCAGTTCTTGCAAATGTCAACTCTCAGTGTGAGGAGCCACTGGAAAATGCCTCCAGGCCTTGCAACAGATTGCATCTTTTTCCTTACTGTACTTGATCCACTTGAACTGATCATACAGTCATCTAGAAAAGCAAGAGGATTTTTCTGAGATGGGAAAATAACACCAGCACACATTGGTTGAGTAGCCCGTAAAGGGCAGACAAATCTGATGGTGTCCCTGCAGACTCTGGAGTAGGAGCTGCTGGGGGTAAAGCCAGCCATGGTGGTGGCTGTCAAGTCTGCAGTCCTTCTCCTGCTGTATTATATAGTTTCTTTTAAGCCAAATCCCCACTTGTTTTGGGCACTCTTTGCTCTTCCAGTCATGGTTTCTTTAAATATCTCACCATGGACATTTACATTAACATTTTTATCATCTAACTTAATAAGTGCCATTTTTTAAAATTTCACTGCAAAATCTGAGTATTTCCAAATCTCAACCCATTGAGGCACTTGATGACAGCGAATGCACGTAAACATTTTCACAAGCAACTGCCAAATGTCAACCCTGCCCATGCTTACATTGCAGACTGTTTATTGGCTACAATATACTGGTGACATCTCCAGACAACAAATCACATTCATGAAAAGACCAATATTTAACTGGCTAAGCCTGTAGTCAGTCTGGCTAGGCCTGGGCCTATCCAGGTATACCCTTGGCTATGCACCTGCTGCATAGATAAGAGCAAGAAGTAAATTTACTTCAGTCACAGTGAGATATATCACTTCAAAACATCTAATTAAGACAATAACTTAAGGATGTTCATCTGTAAGCTCAACTGAATCCTTGCATCTCAGCTGCAAATGCAGAATTTGTAGTTTTTTGGCTGAGCTATGGCAGAACACATGCTCTGGATGCTCTGGAGACTGGAATAGGACACCTCACCTTTTAAAATCTAAACTCTCACAAGCCGCTGAGGAGTCATACAGTATGAGGTTATAATCCCAACAAACCAGCTGATACATTTTACTGTTTTCTAAATTTGCTGCTGTTGTTCAAAGGCACTCTAGGGAATTTAGCTGGACACAGTGGTTATGCTGTATTGTAATAATTCATTGTCAAACAGGTACACACTAACCAGGGAGGATGTGTTTGTGGTAGTGGGGCTATGAGCCAGTCCCAGTAACTCTTCCTTCAGGGCACTGGGCAGCAAAAGAAGCTCCATAGTGTACTTATCATCCCTTTCCTCCACAAAGGACTTGAACGCTCGTTTCACTGCTGGTTCTCTGTCACTCGGTAGACTTCGCTTCTCCTAGGCACAACACACAAACACACAGATATTCAATGATCTTCAAGATTTCTCTAGTAGATTTATGGTCAAAATACTTATGACAGATGTACAAAACAGCAAAGGTGGCTGAACAGTCCTCTGCCATGAAAGCTCTCAGGTTGACTGGACTAACAACTATATAGTAACATGGTGTAAAATCACAGATTATTAGTTCCCCTACCTGGAATAATGCTACAAATTGCTGAACTCTGCTCTGGGCCATCACAACTGGTTCAGCACGGCCCAACAACCGCAGACGGCCTGGCTCAGGCACCACAACCTCAGCACTTGTGTCCCGTATGAGCCTGTCCAAGAAGAGGCCCCGCGCACCAGCAAAAATACAGTGCATGTCCACTGGGTACCGCTCTTCTTTCTGCAGCTCTGGGTCACAGAGTCCTCGAACATATTCCTGCATGACAAAGAGAAGTGATAGAACTATGATTATTATATATGATGGTATGGTTTATTGCAAAAACAAAACAAAAACACAAATTTTAAAATGAAAATCATCTGGTCAAAACTACACCAGCCAAGAATTTTGGTGACCCATGCTCTTAAAAACACATCTGTGATGTCTGCAAAATTCAGGATGAAACACATCAAGCAAAAGGAAATATATCTATTATACAGGGATAGTGCCAAAGTTGCTTGTACGCTCTCCCTAGTTGAGCACACACACACAGACACACACAGACACACACACAGGCCAATGCACCTCGCTGTCGATTAGTAGAGCTGACACGTGCTGAAACTAAACACTCGTGATTGATTCAGGGAATCTCCTGACTATGGGATGTCCGCATGAATCAGCTACAGGTGGGTGTGGTAACTTCAGATACTGTGTCACATTTCTTAAGCATTAATAAAGAAAGAAGAAGAAAACTCAGTGCTGAGAATGTAAAATGACTCAACTATGACACAGTGGGACATAAAGAAAGAAAGGATGTCAGACATCAACAGGCACCAGCTCACAAATATTTGGGTGTGGCTTTTAAAATCAGACAATCAATAAAATGAGGTGGGATTTCCAGTAGGTTTGGCCCTGAGCCCTCTGCAATAATCAGACCTCTGATTATGTGCGTCATGGTTAATGACCTTAGAGCTTACCCAACAACTCTCACCATGTATTTCAAATCATATTAAACAGCAGCACACACAGACAGGCAGTGCGTTCTGGGTTAATATTTGTCTAATGGCAGTTAGGGACCTCTCTGGTAAAATCCCACCACATCACAATGATCAACAGAATATAAGTAGCTCTAGTGATTATTGGTTGTATTTTAGCTTTATTTTGAATTATGCTTTAAAGAATCAATGGGCAACTTCTCAAACCAAAGTGGTGTGCCTGACTGGATCGAAACTAATTTTGACAGAGGGGACTCTGAGACCTAAAAGCAACTGACAGAGGGGACTCTGAGACCTAAAAGCTACTTGCAGCTATCTCCCCCTTTGTGTAGTCACAGCCAAAATACACTACAAAAGCAAAATATGACATTCAGGTATAAGAAGTAAATACTTGGCTGCCAATAAAGCAGAATAATACACTCAGTCAAAAACTGTATTGTGCTTTCTGGAAGTGAAGCAGACAGCTTTTCATAGCCGACTTGATGATGCTGTGAGAATCAGCTTCAAATTGTTGCAAATCGTAGAAAGAGAAAATAACAATCAGGACTACTTTCACTCATATGCAGCATTTTTCTAGTGGTTGACGTGATACGCAAACTTGTGAAACTACATTACAAGAAAGGTTGTTATGGGAACAATGGCAGTGATTTCCCAAACTAGAGGAAGCACCAACAGAACTTGGTAATGTTATGCAGGAAACCATTCATGACGCCTGTGTCATCCTCATCATGAGCTGAACAGACTGACAGTAAAATTACCATTTCCACATCACATTCTCGGTTGACTGGCAGAGCTCGGAACAGCTGGTTACAGGGGGAGCAACTTACGCACTAAAGAGAGACTCATGACACAAGATGCAGAAGTGTGACAGATACTCTTGAATGGGAAATCACACAGGAATAAATAAATGCCACAGATGTTAACAGCTATTTTACATGTTTAAGTGTAATGTCTACTCTCTAAATGCAGCTTAGGCCCAGACGCCTTTTAAACTGATTGTTGTTATGAAGTTAACTTTTGTGTCAGATGGTGTGATTCAGTCATTGTGAGCTCTATTTATTTAGGAGTGCTACCACACTGTCCCCCCACTTCTAGATGTGTAATATGATGGTTTTGATCCAAGATGGATCAGAAGGAGCATTTGAAGCAGTTAACAAATGCAATGCATTTATTTCATCATGACTGATTCCTTCAAAAATAAAAAATAAAAATCAACCTAAATGTATGATACACAAAATAAAGACATAATGAAATATTGCCTATTCATGACTACTTGACAGATGACTATTGTAATCACAAGTTCATTATGTATCTAAATGTCAGATACAATTCTACAATAAATCAGCAACAACAAAATGTCCTATATGGACATCCCCAGGGCCTGAATCCTGTAAGATGATAGTTTGTGGTCAGAAAATATATTAAGAAATTATGGTTGCGTAACCGATACTAGCCCATACACAGTCCTTGATATCTACATCCTCACAATAAGGGGTATTCTGCAATAATTGAGTAAGAAAGTCTTACAATATTTTGTAATATCTGTGCACATATTCCCATAAATGGCAAAATATTTTTTTAATGCTACAATGTATCACATGTATGATGGGGACAAAAAAATACAGCAATATATTGCGATTTATAGATACATTATGTTTACTTCTCATACTGCAGACAACTTATTTATTTTCTGTCACTTTGAACTTTTGCTCGTTTATGGTGGCAAAACACTATGCACTTTGTTATAATGTTTTTCTCTGCTCAGTTGTCTGATAAAATAAAAAATCTTATGTCAATTTAAATTTTAAGTTTACCTTGGTGTCCACATCACAAAGGGCCTGACCTGGGTGCTGCATACTGACTCAGTGGTAAGAAAGGCATGGCAGAGACCGTTTCACCTTAGACGCCTGAGGAAATTGCGGGTATCCCTTCAGACACGGAGGAATTTCTACTCCTGCATCACTGAGAGCTTCCTGACAAGGGACACCACTGCTTGGTACAGACACAGCAGCCAACAGGACTGCAAAGCCCTGCGAGGAGTGGTTTGTTCAGCTGAATTTGATTTCAAGAGACAAATTAACAGATAAATTGAAAAAAAATTGTTTTGTTTAACAGTATTGTATAAACATGTGAAACAGTGTGTTATGAACTGCATGGAGTCCAAGTTCTGTTAACACAAACACAACATGTATATATTAGGGGTGTAACGATACATCGATCCACATCGATGCATCGATTCATTGATTAACAATCCGATTATATCGTTGCAAAATGAAAACATCGATCCATATCGTCATCTTAAAGATACGCATTATTTTTAAATTCACATAGCACGTCTGTGTCACCATTTCTGGGCAAGCGCACCTCCGCTCAAACAACAAACAGAGCTCAGAAATAAAATGGTCAAATCATATTCTAGTTGTTTTTGTGAGTTGATGTAAATGATTGTGTTAGATGGGCATATGATACCGCGTCATATCGATCGCAGGCTCCTGAATCGAATCGAATCAAAATCGTATTGTGACAGACTTTGTGATATTGGCAAACATCGTATCGTCATCCAAACAAATCAATATAATATCGTATCGTGATGAAGCTGGTGATTTACACCCCTAGTAAATATATGCTTATATCTGAATGTGCAGTGCAAACAGCCATGAAATAATAAATATCATATTGAAACTGAAATGACCTGTCCATGTCCACAGGTGTGACTGTGTTCATGACATTCTGTGGCTTAACTGTTGGCCAGTGACAACTTTAAGGCTGACATTACGACGACAAAATCAAATGTCATAAGATTTTTTCCTAGACACCACAATGTCAATAGTGTGGTGATACACTGGGAACGTTATGACTATTGTTGCTTTCATAGACTATCTGATCTAAATTAAGTGTGGGTGATATTATGCAGGAGAAAACACCGTTTGTACTGCGGGTGTGAAAGAGAGACAGACTTTATTTAACCTATGATAATAGCTACAAATTCAACAAAGACAACTTTGTGGCGAAACCTTTACAGGCCAGTAAAAACAGAACTAAAAACACTACAATGTCAAGGCCAGATCTAATCTCAATACGACACCCCCTCCCAGCTCTGATGTTATATAGGTTGATATGTTGGTAAGGTATGTGATAAAACTGCAGAGACAGGTGCCAATCACCTGACACTGATACACCTGTTCATCAGCCACTAGCAGGCAGGCAGACAGTCAGCGGTGCCGCCAGCGTGGTGGTTGTTATATCTTTGATAAAAACAGCTGTGTCACAGTGGACTGCTGGCTAATCTGTAGAAAATGCAAGTGAAACAGTAAAACAAGACCTCACCTTCGCCTTCGACACGTCGTCTCTGTTTCCTCTGAGCTGCAGCCATATCTGCCGTGATGTTTTGCTACCGTGCGGCTGTCCTGTGTGGTCCAAAAGACCAATAATGGTGAACGTTACTTTAAAAACCTGCTCCACTCGAGGCTTGGCACATTTCAGCTCGTCTTCTTTATCCTCTAGCACCGTAAACTCGTCCACTGTGGGGGCCTCTAGCTGCTGCCTCGCGGCTGACGCAGGGAGCCTGCTGGTCGGCTGCTCAGGGCACGTTAGCTCGGTGACTCGTCTCATTCCGAGGAGGGGCCGCGTTGTTGACATTCCGCCTCTCGGTCTGACTGTCGCTCCCGACAACGACGTCTCAATATTCAAACCTCTCGGTGCTGTTAGGAGCCTTTGGCGTTTTCATGGTCTCTTTTGGCGTGTACTCCAGAGCAACGAGGCGACGTTTACAGTGTCTAACGATATGAACACAGAGGTAGAGCTAGCTTAATAACTCGGAAGCCCCGAGTGACGTATCCGGAAAGTCCCAGTGATTGCGTCATCAAAACACGACAGTTAAGTGTGCTCCTCACGGCGATGGTTATCTGCTGTGGTGGATGAGGTATAAATTTTTTTTTTTTTTTTGCGTAAAAGTAGCAACACGTGAGTAGAAATACTCTGTTACAAGTTAAAGTCGTGATATTAAAATTGTAAGTGTACAAAAGGTTCAACCTCTGAAAAACTGTGTTGTTCGTCTTCCTCTCTGCATTGTTTCCCTTCTTATGGATTGTTACAACTTTGTTTGTTTTTGTCTTTGTTTTGTTGTTGTTGTTGTAAAGCGCCCTTGAATGTGCCAGAAAAGCGCAATTTAAATCCAATGTATCATTGTTATTATGATTAAAAGTATAAGCATTACAGTATACTAATACCAGAAGTAAAAGTGCTTATGCAGAATCACTTCATGGTAAAGTCGGACCATTTGGGACATATGATGGGACATAAGATAAAATGGAATAAAAAAAAGATTTTACATTCTGGGCTCTTTTTGTATTAAAGCCCATTCACCGACAGAACATGTTATTGCATGGATGCTACAAATGCGCTTTACCTGGAATAATATTTTTTATTGTTTTGACATGATAAGATCTGGTCCCAGGTATTTTCTGGGAAAGCTATTTGGCATGTCGATTTTCTCCTGATGGTTGTGAGAGTAGGCTACTTCAGCTAAAACAATAAAGGTATAACAACATAAATGGTTGTAAGGTGTTGCATTTTATAATGTTTGACTTATAGTCAAAGTATATTCACATTACACTTTGCTTTTAATGGGAAAGGGTTTTGAGTGTTTAATGCATTTAGGTAAAATGGGACGTTATTTGTGAAGTGAAAAACGCATGTTTTCAGGCTACCAGGTGCCATTAAATCATAACTTAGGCACACACACACACACACACACACACACACACACACACACACACATTCATTGTAGACAATAAAGCACCAAGGGAACAGGAAGTAAAAGAACAGGGAATGCAGGGCAGAAAAGTTGGACAATCTGTTTTGATGAATAGCCAAATGTTACATGAATTATTTAATATATTAATGACTGAACTGATAAATGCATTTAAACATTTAAAAAAATAAACAAACACGAGTGACCCATTTAACCTGAACATGTCATTGGAGTGAGGTAAGGGTACTAAATGTGTTTGAAGGTCCAAAGTTTCTACAATAATTTACTTAGCAACATATTTTTCATAGAAACATAGCAGAGAACTATTAAAATTTCTTAAAGTAACACTTGAAGTAGTAATCAGAGTTTTAGGTGGTTTTCTTGGTAATCTACCAAAAGTGTCTCAAATGACCTGACTTCACCCCTAAAGTGTGATATAGATAGCTACGAAAGTCTGATACCATCATTCATTTGTTGATTATATTTTGTATTATTAATCGGAATCCTGGAAATAACTGAAGTGATCAAATAAATGTAGTACTTACTTTTTCCCTCTGAATTGTACTTGAGTGATACATTATAATATTGCAGAGAACTCAAGTACAGTACTTATAAATGTTGTTATTACTTTCCACCATTGTCTATCTGTTATGGTGTTGTGAAAACAAACTATAAAACATAGACGCACAGTGACTTATATTCTTACGACATCAACACCATAGATGGAGATCGTGTGAGATCAGACCGTCAGTTCTCAAAAACCAACAGTAGGTGTTGAGACAGCATCTATGTGAGAATATGAGCAGTCGATGGTTGCTTGATTGAGTAAGATAAGCAAGTGTGCAGCAGTGCAGCTGTGCAGGCCCTGACAGGCAACACAATCCAAAATCATTACAGTACCCAGTACAGCATGAGGCAGCAGTTATAACAACCTTTGACTGGCTTTTTCAGATGTGCTCACTGGGTGTTAAGGTAGGATTACCAATTTGGCATGTAAGCAACTGTTTCTGGGACAGCAACAAACCCAGATTAACAGCATAGTTTTGGTAATTTGATTACTTTCAGTTTACATGACTAAAGAAAAATATCAGCAAACCTAGGTCATGTGTTATACATAATTATATGGCCATGTTTTTTTGAAGGACCCTGTGTCAATATGTAGTTTAAGGTCATAAAATGGATAGCCTACATATTCTAATTAAGTTGCATCTAATCAAATGACTATAAACAAACACAAAATTTTAGAGCACAGGAGTGCTAGTTGCACTGGACTCAATGCAAACATGGAGACAACAAGATACATGTGCACTGTGCATAGAGCGGTAGTTAGGTGGGAGCCAAGGGCCCAACAGTAGATTTTTGCCCAATAAAGGGATCGAAAAATAGAAACTCAATGTGCCAGATCATTTTTATGAAGGACCAGCATGGTGTTGCTGTCTGTCAATCTCTTAATTTACAATATTTCACAACAAAACTCAGTAGTTCCTACAGATTACAGGAACTGATGCTGCATGTAAATGCCATAAGCATGAATACTGCAATGACAAACAGTCCGTACATCACTGCACAGAGGCTTTTAATAGATAGATAGTAAGGGTGGATAAAAATGAAATTTACTACCAAAGTGGACTAAATGTGGACTAAGTTGGACATGTGCTGGAAGTGGTCATATTATGAAATACCAGATCCCCACCATGTGTGAAGAAAGCAGACAGTAAAATACAACATGTCAGAGGTATATTGGAAGTCACAAGTATGAGGGTTGACTGAATAGTTTTGAGCCTAACTCAGAAATTGGGTCGCTAGGTTAGTCACGTGACTATTTTTTATAATCTACCGCCTTTTGTTTTTGTCATTAAACATATTCATGTTTCAAACTCTTTGTTTTATGTTTGCAGATTTTTGAAGTGAATAGTGGTCAGTGATTTGTTGTTGTATTGCGCTGTGATCAAATATCTTCATCTCAAAGGAAGGTCATCATCTGAAATTTATCAAGACATGCTCAATACTTTACATGACAATGCCCCTTCATATGCCACAGTCAAACGCTGGGTAGAAGAATTCAAGCGCGGCAGGGAGGGTGTTTAAGATGAGTCGAGGTCAGGGAGACCATCAACTGCTACCACCAAAGAAAACCTTGACCTTGCCCTGGACATGATCATCCAAGATTGCCAATTGTCAATACGTCAAGTAGCAGACAGGTTGGGCATCTCACAGGAGCGACCAGATCATATTCTGAAAAATGAGCTTGGCTTCTTAAAAGTTTCCGCTAGATGGGTCCCACATCTTCTGACTCCTAAGCAAAAATGCACTTGTCGCACCATGTCAATGAACAATTTGGAAATGTCAAGTCAAGATTGTATTTTCAAATCAAAAGACTGAAATCCAAGTGAAGTCACAAGTCATTGGAGTTAAAGTCCAAGTCAAGCTGCAACTTGTTTTTGATTTTGTCAAGATGAGTATAAAGCCATCAAATTTGTGACTCGAATTTGACTCAAGACTACACCTCTAGTGCACATAATACACCCCTTATTATTTCTCCATATGTGAAGTAGCATTATGTTGGAGAAACTCTGGAAGAATTGGGGACTATGTACATATCTTGCGGGACCGCCCAAGAACTAAAGGGTTCTGGAAAAGTGGTAAAGAAGAATTGACAATATTATAGAAATTAATGTCTCTCAGATCCATCATTATTTTTGTGAGGATATTTATAAAGATATATGGTAGTGATCAGGGATATATATTGCAAATACTTGTATGACTGACAAGAAAATGTGAACTGCAACTGAAAATGGACACTTTTATAGAAAGGTGGACTTTATCTATTTATGCCAAGTATTCATACTTGTAGTATACCAGGAACAATACACAGGACAATTTTTTTGCGCATCAGTGTGTGCGTTATTCTTACTGAACACTTATACTCGTGTTACTTCCAATACGTAGATATCTCTTAGTGCAGTGGTTCCCAACTGGTGGGTCACGGTCCAAAATTGGGTGGAGGGCCCATTCTGAAAGGACCACAAGTGACTCGCAAATGTGTCAAGTGTGTAAAAAACACACTTAGAACTTTTATTTTGAAGGGCTGTTTTCTGCTATAGAGTGAGTCATTAAAAGCCAGCTACTTGACAGAGACAGAGAACTGGCTAAACGCAAGTATGACACAGAATGTATTAAACTGTGGGATCTCCAACTAATGACCATGGAGAAATCTGGACCCCGTGGCCAGACAGTTGGGAACCACTGTCTTAGTGTATTTGTACCTTTTGAGGTATTTTGTAAGCCACATTCTTTATTTCTTTTCACCGAGGCATGATGTGTTACTAGATTTGAAAATGCATCCATTACAAAGTGTGCACGCATTTATTTCATGTATAAATCTGGATATATACTAAAAACTTAATCTGAAGTCAATTTTAATGATCATAAACATGAATCAAGTGAATGCTAAAATCATGAATATTTACTTGAGAAGTTTGTGTATTAATTTACATATAAAATCCAAAGCTAAAGTGAAGATGTTAATTCAAAGTTTACAAAGATGATTTTTTTTAACCTTTGTCAGTGTGTAAATGTGATATCAAAGTGTTGTGAGACTGAGAGACAGTGCCCCCAAAACTGTCATGAAATCTGTTTATTAATTCACACTTATTCACACAATTTATATACTGTAGGTTTTAATGGTAACTTCTTGTAACAGTGGTAACACTCTTCACAGCTTGCAAAGCAAACAAGCAGCAACCATATTTTCAGTATTCATGAGACTGAACAGAAACTTAAGCCAAGTGATGACATTTTACATGAAGTTATTTTTAAACCGCATTGCTGCCAGTAAGAGTCATTTATTCTCTGTATCAATTTAAAGAGGCTGCTGTAACTTTTTGCATTTTGTTTTTGGATGCCAACATTTTTTCCACACAAATGACATGCTGTCTTATTCCATTTCCCTTTTTTGGACCATTCTGTATTGACAAGCGAGAATGATCAGTGTAAAACAAAGTGCAGTCAAAGTGCATTTTGTTATCAGACAAAACTCACACTAAAGAAGTAAGCAAATGTGAGGTTGAAATTAAGCAATTTCAATGATGGAACTGGAATAAGATTTTATGACAGCAGTAAAGTGAAAACAGGTTGGTGTTGCAAAGTAATTAGCCTGTAAATGTTTCATATTTACTCTTGTCCATGGAAACTATAAGT